AGATGAGCAATTGAATAAAGTTAAAGTTCAAATGAAAAGATTTCGGTATTTGACAACTTCCTATTCAAGAAAGTTACCTATTTTCTTCAGTGTCTCTTCAACATATAGTTAAAAGCATGAACCTTCACGAAGCCATAAGAAATTGCTACAACATGTAGGAAGATCAAATCGTATATAAACATGTGCATTCCTTCTCTAAGATAACTAAATAAAATAATAACAGGATGTTGATTGTGAGACAATGTAATGGTTGATCACAAGAGCTGTGATAAAACATGACACTCTTGATAAGCATGAGAAAAAAGGAGTGAAGCATATAGTCACCAGCAAAAGCACCAATTGCAGCATTCTCGGGATCATTGAGGTCTGTACGTGCCTGGTGAATGTTCAAAAGCAGTAAAAACTTTGTATATGTAGAAGAATCATATTTGGATTATCATGATGCAAGGGATGGATCCTGTAAGAAGCATTAGATTGAGAGAAGTGGAAAGATGCAATGGAGGGTCCTTGCGAATAAGAAAGAAAACAGGATGAGAGAGAATTAAAGAGTTGCAAAATCATTGGGACATAACTGAGATTGGTAAATCTACCATCATGCTCTTCATGGATTAAAAATGGAAGGTTAATTAAAGCCGTTGGATGAAAGTGGATGGGATGGATGAGATTGGTCCTCATAACACATGGCTATGTATGTGTACATAGGGGTATGTATGAATTCATTAATGGCTATTTTGGTGAAATTCTTGAGTATTGATCTTGTAAACAATAATATAAACATAGTTAGATGGTATTTTGATTGTTGGAATAAAGATTGAATCCAAAATATGGATTTTAGCCTATTTAGTGGTGAATTTGACAGCACCGAATCTATTCGAGATGCTGTTTTGAATATGCGATAACTTTTTAACCGTAGCTCGGATTGCTACGATTTTGGACATTTTAGAAAGTTATATGTAGCTCAAAACCTGTCTTTTAGAAACGTTTTAGAAATAAGGCCTCTAGGTTGGTTATATTTGCATCTAAAAACTGATAAAAAGTTGATTTTGAGCTGTGAATTATAGTAACTAAAATGAATTTAAATTAAGTTTGGCCTTGAGCTTTATTGGATCCTGTTTTATGTAACCAATTTGTAGTTGCTGTCGTTTATGGCAGCTACAATGTTCAAATTATGAAGTGCATTGATATTGATAGCTTCATGTTCAAAGGGTTCTTTAGGAGTTGAAGCTGAATTGAGGGATTGAGTAATGCTAACAGCATTAAAGAGATGTAAATCCTAATAGCCATTGAGTAATGCTAACAACA